GTTTTTCAATGTCCAAGTCATTGAAAATTTCAGCTCATATTAAACTCAGTGTCAAGTCATTGAGAATTTCAGCTTGTGTTGAACTCAGCGTCAAGTCATTGATAGTTTTAGCTGATATTGAACTCAGCGTCTGGTCATTGAGAATTTCAGCTGATGTTGAACTCAGCGTCAAGTCATTAGGAATTTCAGCTGATGTTGAACTCAGCGTCAAGTCATTGAGAATTTCAGCTGATGTTGAACTCAGCACCAAGTCATTAGGAATTTCAGCTGATGTTGAACTCAATGTCACGTCATTAGGAATTTCAGCTGATGTTGAACTCAGCGTCAGGTCATTGATTGTTTTAGCTGATATTAACTTAGTTTCAAGTCATTAGGAATTTCAACTTATGTTGAACTAGCATCGAGTCATTGAGAATTTCAGATACGTTAAACTAAGCACCAAAATTTCGCCAGAATTGTAAAGCTAAGCGTTAAGTTATCAATTAATTTATTCTAATGAAGAACTCAGCGCCAAAGTTTCATGCAACATTGAGCTCAGCGTCAGTGTTGGACACGGCTGATGAGTCCACGACGGTGATAGTCTCACGACTAGCAGCTTTAAGTTGGCTGTAGTTGTCAGTTCTACGGCACAAGAAGCCGTTACGGCGGTAGAATAGGAACGCTACGGTCGTTACGGACGCGAGCACGCCAACCAGCAGCAGTACGGCCACAACACCCCATTGTCTGTATATATAATAATAATTTATTTCAATGATTCTATTTTACTTGAGCAAAATACAACTTGATATTGAAATCAATGCGATTAAATCTATTAAATAACCCGCTAAATAATTCAATTACTAATTATATATATTCAATAATTTAAAAATATTAAGGAGGAAATTGAGCAAATTAAATAACTTGCCTACTATAATTTAATCGATTAAATTTACCTAGTAAATAAGGCCAGTAAAAATTACGAAATAAGTAGGAATGAAAGATAATAAATACTAAAAAAAAAGAAACAATACATTATAAAAAATGAATTCATGATGATAAATTTCAGCAATAATTACGATAAATTTGTACTATAATTACTGGGGGAAATGATGATAAATTTCTATGATAATTACGATAAACTTGCACTAACTGGGGGAAAATAATGATAAATTTCTATGATAATTACGATAAATTTGTACTATACTTACTGGGGGATAATGATGATAAATTTTTACGATAATTACGATAAATTTGTACTATACTTACTGGGGTATAATGATGATAAATTTTTACGATAATTACGATAAATTTGTGCTGTGCTTGCTTCTTCATAATGACGATAAATTTGTACTATAATTACGATAAATTTGTACTATACTTGGTTTTTAATAATGATGATAAATTTCTTCGATAATTACGATAAATTTGTGCTGTGCTTGCTTCTTAATAATGACGATAAATTTGTACGATAATTACGATAAATTTGTACTGTACTTGCTTTGGATAATGATGATAAATTTCTACGATAACTACGATAAATTTACGATAATTACTCACTTGGGGTCAGGGTAATCGTCGCTGGCTTTACACACAAAATCTTCTTCTTTGAGCTGCGACAGCGGCGATCCGCGCAGTCTGTTCGGCAGCGAGCAGCTGCACGACAACATGACTCAAAAATTGAAAAAAGTGTTTTTTCTACCTTATCGTAAAAATATTATTTATAGTTGTTTGACCTTATCGTAAAAATATTATTTTTAGTTATTTTTACCTTATCGTAAAAATATTATTTTTCGTTATTTCCACCTTATCGAAAAAATATTATTTTTAGTTGTTTGACCTTATCGTAAAAATATTATTTTTAGTTATTTTTACCTTACCGTAAAAATATTATTTATAGCAATTTCTACCTTATCGTAAATACATTATTTTTAGTAATTTCTACCGTATCGTAAAAATATTATTTTTAGTTACTTTTACCTTATCGTAACAATATTATTTTTAGTTATTTTTACCTTATCACATAAATATAATTTTTCGTTATTTCTAACTTATCGTACAAATATTATTTTTAGTTATTTTTAGCTTATCGTGAAAATATTATTTTTAATTATTTCTACCTTATCACAAAAATATTATTATTCGTTATTTCTAACTTATCGTACAAATATTATTTTTAGTTATTTTTACATTATCGTAAAAATATTATTTTTAGTAATTTTTACCTTATCGTAAAATTATTATTTTTCGTTAATTCTACCTCATCGTGAAAATATTATTTATAGTTATTTGACCTTATCGTAAAAATATTATTTTTAGTATTTTACCTTATCGTAAAAATATTATTGTCAGTTAATTTAAAAACAAAGAAGATGGCACAAAAATTTTCTTAATGTTTAGAAAATAAAACACTTTTTTTTGATTGTCGAACTGAGGATAGAGCTGGGCTGCGAAACATTTTCTTTATAAAGATATAAATGGGGTATTTATGCGCCATCGTCTCTGTTTTTTTTTAATTCCTGGTAAATTTGCGATCCAGGCAATCACGTGATCTAAGTACATTGAATTTTCAATCACCATCGTTGTTTCTATCAGTCACTTTTCTAATATTTCTCTCGGTATTGTGTTCCATATATCATTCACAATGAAATATGAGATATTTAAAAATTCCCTGCATATTGTCGCAAAGTTCCCAGCAAAAATCTCACAACTTTTGTAATGTTAAGTTTCTTCAATCCTTTTTACAATCTTACGTTCAATTAGGAAGATAAAAGAATCAATTGCCTCCCCAAGAAAAAATCAATTCAAAAATAGCTTTAAAGACTTATATCATTCAATATATATGTTCAACTAACACCTCTCGCTTAGGAAAAATAAATTCTAAGTATTTTTTCACTAACAATATTTAAGAAAAAATAACGTAGACTACGTATTACTGGACTTCAAAATAAAAATATTAGTAAAAACATACTAGAAATTCTCTCCGACGAGTTTTTCGACCGGGGAGCCTTTTATCCAGGCCATGTGGCAGTCGCAACGCCACTGGTTGTGGCTGAGCTCCAGAGACTTGACCAGCGTCCAGTTGAGCAGGCCCTCCGGCAGCGTCTCCAGCCTCGTGTACGACAACTTCAAGTCTTGTAGCGGTATACGCACCTCCTTGTTTTCGGACGAGCTCGAGAACGCCTGCATAAAAAAATAGAAATAAAGGCTTCATAAATAAATAGAAATAAAGGCTTCATAAATAAATAGAAACAAAGGCTTAATAAAGAAATAGAAAGAAAGGCTTCATAAAGAAATAGAAATAATTAAAGGCTATATAAATAGAAACAAAGGCTTCATCAAGAAATATAAATAATGGCTTAATAATAAAATAGAAATGAAGGCTTCATATAGAAATAGAAATAAAGGCTTCATAAAGAAATAGAAATAAATGCTTCATATAGAAATAGAAATAAAGGCTTCATATAGAAATAAAGGTTTCATATAGAAATAGAAATAAAGGCTTCATAAATAAATAGAAATAAATCTTCATAAAGAAATGGAAATAAAGGCTTCATAAAGAAATAGAAATAAAGGCTTCATAAATAGAAAGAAAGGCTTCATAAAGGAATGGAAATAAAGGCTTCGTAAAGAAATAGAAATAAAGGCTTCATAAAGAAATAGAAATAAAGGCTTCATATAGAAATAGAAATAAAGGCTTCATATAGAAATAAAGGCTTCATAAAGAAATAGAAATAAATGCTTCATATATAAATAGAAATAAAGGCTTCATAAATAAAGAGAAACAAAGGCTTCATCAAGAAATAGAAATAAAGGCTTCATAAATAAATAGAAATAAGGGCTTCATAATAAAATAGAAATAAAGGCTTCATAAAGAAATAGAAATAAAGGCTTCATAAAGAAATAGAAATAAAGGCTTCATAAGGGAATAGAAATAAAGGCTTCATATGGCTTTCAGGTAGATGAGCTGCCGCAGGTAGAGCTCGTGTAGACGCTTCATGTTGTATATGGAGTACGATGACAGCTCCTGTAACGTGCATAATTATTATTATCATTGTCTTTTTGTATTCATATTCAGAAAAATTGAATGGTGCGATGTCAGCTCATGCAACGTGCATCATCATAATAATAATTGTATATAAATATATGTATTCATATTCAAAAAATTATGGACTTTGTGCAAATAGCAATGCACTTCTTTCCCTTGTGCCGGCCATCTGACCCAGTTTTGCCTGGCTGAAGGAGCTTTCAGAGCTATGTAAATGCATTAAATTTGGACAATATGACCCATTTATTTTTCTGAGTGCATGTACTAATAGCATGACCACTGTTAACTCGTCCGGACACAGAAGATGGACCTTTTGGACTCTCGTTACCTGGTCAATAGTTGCGGTTTGAATAGACGACGGTTAATATATCTGACAGAAGAATTGAAGTATAACCTAAATCCGGCCAATAGCCAAAGAAATCTAATCTAAACAGAACAAAAATACAGGAATATTAACCTTTATAAGTGAGCTTGAAAGTGTGTCTTATTATGAATATCGTTCGGAATAATCGCACAGGCGAAGAGATCAAAGTCACGCAGAGATATAATGACTATCCTCTAGATAGTCATTATCTGGATAGTCTGGTTGACTACCTATCCTCTGGATAGTCAACCAAACTTAAACAGGCAGTGGGAATTGAAAATACTAGTACTAGTATATCAAGCTTCTTCTGAAGAGCAACAAAAAAATTAGAACAATGAAAAAGAATAACTATAAAAAAATACTGTATCATGGTACACGGACTGTTCTAGAATAAGATTATTGGCGCGGATATTTCGTCGGAAATATAAAGAAAAGGAGAACATTATAAGAAATACTCTAGTTTACTTTAAAAAATCAATAGTTCACTATCAAGTCTTAATCTTTAAAGCTAAGTTGATAATGGCTACTTAGCCGTATCACCTTTCACAAACTATCTGCACAAACTAGAGCAGTTGTTTTAGTACGTACATTTTATCATTAATTCAAACTTACAGTGAAGAGGTTGCCCGAAAGGTCTAACACCTTCAGAGAAGGTGACAGTTTGAAAAGAGCCTTCGTTGGTACTGAGCCGAGTTCGTTGAAAGCCAGGGATAGCTCTTCTAAACTGAAAAATAACGTAATTCTCAATACTGTTCATTTTTATCGGCATAACATGAATGGAAACTAAGTTATTTTTTGTTGTTCATACTGTAAAATCAATGATATGACATAAGTGATTCAACACAAAAAGGGAGAAGTAAACAATTTTTGGACTAAAACTTTTTTTAATTTTAAGAAAATTAATAATAAATTTTAATCACGAAACATTTATTGAAACATAACCCTAGTTAGCCCTAAATTTCTCTTCTGACAAAAAATTTTATAGCCGAGCCGCGTTCACAAAAGTAATCTAATTGTTTGTCTCAAATACCGTAGAGTTTTCAGCACGACAAAATTCTTTATCCGACCCAGGACGGACAATTTTATTCTAAATAAATTCGCTGTATAAGTAAGTGTATATACTTGCCTGGTGGTATCAGTGAAGAGTTCGTTGTGTAAAGCTACGAGTTGGAGATGCGTGAGGTCCAAATGAGTTAGGTTGAAAAGACCAGTAAACAGAGAGTCCGGCAAAAAATTTACAGGATTGTACTTTAGTTGCAGCCGCTGCAGACGTGGCAGCAGCATGAAGGTATTAGCCTCGAACACGTGTAGCTTGTTGTGGCTTAAATCCAACGAGCTTAAGTTGGCAATGCCATTGAAGCTCTGCACGGAATTTGTCTTTCTCATTATCTTATTAGTTATTTTATCTTTAATTCATTTATCCTGAATGGTTGCAGTAAAGAAACTTCCATGTTGTTTATAATAGAAACTTAATTACTCCAGTTCAAAATTTCAACCAAAAAGAGTTTGCATGCAAAATATTTGAACTAACTAAAAGGCAAGATTAATTCATATGGCAGGAATAATTATTGAAACGTTTTTATTAAATAATTAAGGTTAGTTTAGACTGATACTCACGTCGTTGGTTATGATCTGAATTTCGTTGTTACTGAGGTCAAGCTTTAGGAGCCCAGGTAAATTAACGAAGGCATTGGGAGGGATCACGGACAGCAGGTTGGCAGCCATGTCCAGCTCAGTGACGTGCGAGTTGTTGGAGGAGAAGGTTGTCGCCGTGAAGTTCCTCAAGCGGTTGTTCGATAGATCAACTTTCTTGAAGCGCAACGGAACTACAGCTCCATCTGCCAACGCAGTTACTTTTAAGCCAAAGATGGATGGGTAGTTTTTCATCTCATTTGCTGACAGCGGTTAATAAAAACGCAATTTTTTTGTGACGGTAGTGTTGGTCATTAAGTTAATGGAGTTTCCTCTAAAATCTTGTATTAATAATGTTAATACTGAAGTTATTTTGAAAGCCAAATAAATTCATTTTCTTTCACAAATTTTACAAGAACGAGAATTATCTTCTATGGCCATCGTGTTGCTTGAAATCATTGTTTTACAGTTCTCAATATGTGCACACTGATCCCCTATTCTGTAATGAATTTCCGCTGTTGTACAGGGGCTTCTAAAAGAAATCTATAAATAAGGTATAGTAACATAAAAAATATAATATATTTTGTAATATATTATTCAAGTTGTCTGAAACTTTAATAATAACATAAGTGATTTAAGTAAGGTTCACCGTGGAGGTAGCCGATGTCGCGGTACGAGCAGTCCAGGCCGGCGCGGTCGGCTTCAAACACGTCATCTGGGCAGTCGCACGGCCGCCCATCGACCGACGCGCACAAGTTCCAGTCGCTCTGTAGCCACCACACACGCTCAGTCATAATAATAATCATAACATGATATCAATATCAGTGATAATAAGAATAATAATATATCAGTGATAATATTAATAATAATGCGAACAAATTGCAATGTAATCCGCTTCGAATGGATAAGGGGATTAATTTAACAGTTATATATGCTTGGCGGTAATCACTTGAGGCACACACGTTCCAGTCGCCATGTTGCAACACGCACATGTTTAATATATAATAATGCTAACGTGAATAATTCACAACTGGATTCATTTCCAGGATTAATAAGATGACTCTAAAAGGCTGAATCAAGAAGAAATGTGTTTATAATATGTTAAAATATGTTGTTCGTCTTGGAAATGAATAGTAGGAACTGTGGCACCCGACGCTTAATCCAGTTTACCATCTGATTATCCCATTCATCCCACGTTTGAATGAGATATCGCGCGCTTGTCCCATGCAACACACATTCGCCTTCATTCGTCATACATTTATTCTGTACATCACACTTATATCCGCGGAACTACAGTCGGACATCAATGAATGATATAAAAAATTAATTAAAAAAAATGATATAATGTCAAGTGAGTTTTATTAATTGAATATCCAATGGACGGTCATGGCATTCGTACCTACTATTGTATTGAATTAATCTATCTAATCATTGTTACGTAATAAAGGTGTAATAAGAATAACGAAGTCACTAATCTTATAATCTTAAAGAAAATCGATTTTTTCAACGTGGTAATTAAAAATCACATTTTCATTATTACGGCAAGGAATATTAACAAAACGGCATTGTTAACAAAAGCAGGGAAATTATTACGACTTATTAAGTAAAGGACAAAAAACTGACTGAACAAACACAATAGTTTTCTTTTTAGCGCATTTTCTCATTTATGGAAAAAATGCACTATTGTGCTCACTACGTCCGTCTGTCCGTCTGTCCGTCTGTCCGTCCGTCCGTCTGTCTATCCGTCCGTGACTTCACGTTTTAGTCGTCGAGAAAATGCACTCCTGCCACTCACTGTAGTGAGTACTGAGTTATATTTTAACACGTTGACAACGATTGCTTCATTTTGTACTATTATTTCATTTTTTGTACTGTTTTTAAACAGGGTTGCTAGACGGTCAGTTTTTCCGGACAAATTCCGTGATTTAGTTTTTCTCAATTGCGTTGGCCGTATAAAATTTATGATAGGGGTACTTCCTAATTAAATTTTAAATACTGCAAAAAGAAAATAAATGGAATTTTTATAGCGGAAACTGCAAATAAACTATTATATATTGAGTTATCGGCCTTTTTTTGGCCTTTTTGTTCTTGGATTTGGCCGATTTTAGGCAACCTGAATGATGTACCACTACGTCCTGGAGAAAACATTTTGTGGTACGCATATGTACCACTTCAGAGTCAACGTGTTAAAATAAATTCTTAATATATTTACAATAAATTTATTTATATATTGAAATAATACCTCAGCAGATCCCCAGGGGAAGCCGAGAAATGCAGCGACGTGAAGCGAGCAGCTCGCCAGGCAGAGCGCGGTTAGAAAACCCCGCATGTTGTTTAATTGTAGGAAAATATTTCCCGTTACTGCAACAACACTGAGCTTACTTCTAAGAATGTGGAGCGGGCCGTATAGATAGAGAAAATCTATTTAGATAATGGTTATTATTGGCACAAATCTGCAAGAAAAGTGCTATTATATATAAATGACAAAGTAATCAAAATGTTTGATAGTTAATTGCAGGAAAATATATCCCGTTACTGCAACAACACTGAGCTTACTTCTAAGAATGTGGAGCGGGCCGTATAGATAGAGAAAATCTACGTAAATATCGATTATTATTGACACAAATCTGCAAGAAAAGTGTAATTATATATAAATTAAAAAATATTAAAAATGTTTGATAGTTATTTGCAGGAAAATATTTCCCGTTACTGCAACAACACTGAGCTTACTTCTAAGAATGTGGAGCGGGCCGTATAGATAGAGAAAATAATCTATGTAGAGTGTAGACAGTGATTATTATGGACACAAATCTGCAAGAAAATTGTAATTATATATAAATGAAAAAGTAGTAAAAATTTTTTGAAAGCTAATTGCTGGAAAATATTTCCCTGCCTTTTCCAACAAACTGTTTGCAGCGTTACTTCTAATAATATGGAGCATGGAGGTAGAGATAGAGAAAAACTCGATAGTGATTAGTTAGGTCTCAAAACTGCAAAAAGTGCAATTATATGTAAAAGAAGAAGCAATTAGATATTTACTTATTTATGTGATAAATTCCTGATTATATATGAACTAATCAAATAAATTTAATAAAAATATGGCTTTATCAAAATTTACTACATATACGAAGTGTAAATGAACATGCTTTAATGCAAGAGATACGTAATTAACATAAACAAAATTGTCAATTTAGTAATGTACTCTCTGAATATTTAACAAGTTATCCAGTCAAAGACGCGGAACTCCTGGCCCTAAAACCGTGTTTGTAAGCGATCAAACGGAGTGACCTTGACCGAGCCTTATGACTTACTCCTTAGTACGTTTGCTTGAACCAAACATCGATTTTCCGCAAACGTTGTCAAAGGAAAGCTTTTTCTACCAACAAACCCGCCCAATTGTTGACATGGTTTCGAATACCAAACTTTAACGAGTGAAAACTGTGAGCCGGATTACAACCACGCTAAAACTTAAGCGAAAACTGTTGCCGCTTGCAACACACTCAACCGCAGCCAGTAAAATCGTCGGTTCTCTCAAAAATACCCTCACATTAAATTTGTAATCGCGTAGCAAACATTTACGATGAGAAAAAAGTGATTCAATCAATAGCATTTCCTCATTCAAATGAATGATACGAATCTAAAAGTATTTAAATTAAAGAGAGAACACGTCGCAACAAGAGTACTACGTTAGTTGTTTATGTCGTCCAAGATAGTTTCGGAATTATTTAAATATAACCGGTTCCATCCATTGCAAAACGTTGCATGCTACACTTTTCTGCAAAAAACATCAATATTTCATTTGAAAGTGTTAAGAATCATCTACTTTTATCTACTTTTTAGATCGCGATAACATTGTAATTTCGTAATACATAACAGAATGCAATTTTCCTCCGTTCAATTTTTAAAATGCTATTTCAAATTGTTGTATGTGTTTTAAGCTAAAATAGTTTAGGAGTTTCTGAGTTCTTTATTTATTGCTTGCACATGTCTCAAGTTGGTGGCTTCATTAGGCCTTTTTAAGGGAGCTTCGGCCTCGCTAAAATATTTTTATGCTCCCAAAGTAATTCTATGCTGATTAATTAAAATTCTTATTTTTACGAAAAAAATTAAGAAATGTTCAATACAAGGTAGTCTGAATGTGTTTATTCTGTAAACATACAGCACTTCATAGTTTCCTTGGAGTTCTTTGACTGTACCATAGATGTGGTCAGCTGTTGGTGAAATTATAAACATTCGCCCACATCCTGTACAATGTATTGTACATATCATGGGGCTCAGCCTCTTTATCCTTAAAAATTAAAACCTATACCGTACGTAGTGACACCTCTGCTTGTCTTAACTAAAGTCATTGAAAGTGTCGTCTCTTATTTGAACATGGCATAATTCACACATACATTGCCTCATCATCTTCAAGCACTACAGTGAAACATACAACACTTTCTTAAGCTTCTGAAATCTCACGGTCATATTACACTTAATTTCATCACAACCTGCCACTGAATAAGTAGAAATCCTTCAAGACCCTAGAATCGCAGAGCGGTAGCACCAGCGCGACACGTACAACCTCTTAACTTGCAAGAAGCGAGCTCACTGAGAGGTGTAGTCTTGCATCCCAAGTAAAGTGCTGTCACCTAGTCTTTCGTCTTTAGCTTAGAATGCCATGGTTGAATTAATACATGTATTAATTCAACCATGTAGAATGCTTTAAAATCAATTTTCAGTAGGTTATTTGAAGCCAATTTCAGATTTAAAATGTCATTTTAGGAGAATTTGACTTAATGTCACGAAAATCGCAAACATGAAATAACCTTAGGTAACGATGATGGTGATTATTTATGTAACACCTGGCACACTGAGCTGTACAAATACTCTCTAAACCTCATCGTCTATCGTTTCTATTGCAGGTCATGGCAATTTCATCATAGTGGATCCAGAACGTTTTTCTTGTTGTATCTTCTTGTATTATGGAAGAATAAAAACCCCGAAGCTAAGATCGAAAATCATCTAAGTGGACCGAAATTCAGTTGAAAAATCAGTTAGCATTCCCTCATCTCTATAAGTTGGAACAAATGAGTCAAGTCCAATGCGTTTCTGCGGCGAGCGCATTAGACAGAGTAGCATCTTCGCTGTACATATATACATACGCAGAAAAGGACTGAGACGAAACACATACATATTGCTTGAATAGTTTTGTGTCTGTTCCATACATTTTAGCAAGGCGGGCTTAACAACCTTGCTTCCGTCTATACCTTAGCTCCACCATTGCATAGATTAAGCTGATAGTTTATCAGAGAACAAGCGATGACGCATTGGTTAGAGAGTGCCTATAGCTCCGTAAGAGTGTTGGTGATAAGCGAAATACGTTCATGCGTATCAGACTAAACCCCAATGTCAGGTAAAGGCGACCAAGTCAAATGGAGATTCGAAGCTATCAGACGACGCACTTGCACAAAAAGTCACAGTTATGATGTGCGCAAGTCAGGCTATCAGAACTTAATAGAAATATTCAAGCTGTGAACGAACGTGTGTTGCAGATCACAAGAAAGTGTGTGATGGGGGTGGTGTTAGTGAGACAAGGATGTAATGTGGGTTGGTCAGACGATGAAGGAATATGATGTTGGTCAGACCAGGATGTAGTGTGGTGTTGGTCAGACGAGGATGGAGATGGTGTTGGTCAAACGAGGATGGAGATGGTGTTGGTCAAACGAGGATGTAGTGCGGTGTTGGTCAGACGATGATGGAGATGGTGTTGGTCAGACGAGGATGGAGGTGGTGTTAGTGAGACAAGGATGTAATGTGGGTTGGACAGACGATGAAGGAATATGATGTTGGTCAGACCAGGATGTAGTGCGGTGTTGGTCAGACCAGGATGTAGTGTGGTGTTGGTCAGACCAGGATGTAGTGTGGTGTTGGTCAGACGAGGATGGAGATGGTGTAGGTCAGACGAATTCGGCACTTTACGACGCAAATGTTTCACTCATTAAATTAATGAAAATTTGTGGTGTTGGTCAGACGATGATGGAGATGGTGTTGGTCAAACGAGGATGTAGTGTGGTGTTGGTCAGACGATGATGGAGATGGTGTTGGTCAAAAGAGGATGTAATGTGGGTTGGTCAGACGATGAAGGAATATGATGTTGGTCAGACCAGGATGTAGTGTGGTGTTTGTTCGACGATGCTGGAGTATGGTGTAGGTCAGACGAATTCGTCACTTAACGACGCAAATGTTTCACTCATTAAATTAATGAAAATAATAATTCAGATCACATTTTGACTGACAATAGTATTGCCTAGTCTAATTATTAGCCCGCATGTTTTTTACAGCTTTAATGAAACAACCAAAAATATTATCTAATTCCAAGCCAACAAACAGATTAGTCGCTAACATATTATTTATTGGCTTTTCTAATCGGAATGAGAATTACACCATCCCCTCGTCGCATGGAAATTATACACGTTAAACGTCTTATTCATCTGGTACCGTGTGTGAAAGAAATATTTAAAAGTTAATTCGTATAAAAAAATGCTAACATAATAACTTATAATCCTTTTAGTTGTGTCCCAGGAATTAGCCCCAAATTTAGCTCCTCCGTAGGAGCCTAAACGCATGGTTGAACTAATATATAATATATATTGAACTAATATATATTAGTTCAACCATGGTCGAACTGCGCTATGCCTAAGCTGCGACAAACAAAAATTTCATTAATCGGTAAATTTTCATTCATTAATCGGTTAACTTTCCTTCTTTGAACAACGTACGATTATCAAGGAACTTACGATGATTTAAAATTTTATTAAATTTCAAGTAGTGTGGCTGTAAAGGAACTGCGACGACACCGAGTAGGAGACTCATGCTCACACATTGATGGCAATTTGATGCGCAATATATAGTTTAGCGGACTTAATTATTTACCTCACTTGTTTTAACAGAAGAATCTCGAATAAACTCGTTATTACTAGCTGCGGCGACACATATATTCACAAGAAACTTTAACCGGGACACCATGTACACTCATACCTCGCGTTAATTCAGTGACACGCAACGTAGGCGTGATGCAGACTGAGATGTCGAGCGAGCTAAAGGTAGAACGCAGCGGCTTATCATCTAGAATTCTAGATAAAAATCCTTATCGCTTATATAACTTACAAGAGGGATTCAGGCATTGAGCCTACCAAAAAAAACGTAGGAAGTATTGGAAATTATTATATCAGAGACAATAAACGCATGATTAATTTGTATTAATTCAAATTGGTATCAAATTTGACTACAACCAATTCATGCAAGGGCTCACAGTTCTTATGGCTTTCGAAGGCCATGAGATGCAGTTTGAACATTGATCTAGGATGGAATCGGTGAGCTGGATTTGGATGGAATGGTGGTGAGCTGGTAAGATTAAAGGTAATGCAGAAAAGGGTAGCTAAACTGGCACTTGGGGCGCCCATAGTGGAAAGCAGTGGAGGAAAAGACACTGGCATGGGTAAAGTTTGGAGAGAGAAGAATGAATGAAGCACAGAGATATTATGTGCGAGTGTTTCTCATGGATATGAATGATGTATTTGCGGAACATGAGTTTGAGTAAATGCCAAATAATTATATGAATGTGTGAGTGGCATTAGGCAAGGGAACCCCGATGTAATAATGGATGAAATGATGATTAGTTCATAAACTATTTTAGATATAAGTGATCGTCTTATTTTATCGTCTCTTATTTTAGGCGTTTCTTCTATTTTCCACCAACAATTAATAAATAATTGGATCACTGTAAATTTTCTTACACCATTACTCTGTCTAAATAAATGCAAATACAAATTGATCAACAATTAATTATTCAGATGACATATAATATCTCGATGCCGTATTATTTCATTTATTAAGGTATTTACTTCACTCGAAAAATAATGTAAAGCATGGAAAATATCCATTGGATCGTTCTATTCCTCTTATCAATTCAAATGAAAAAATATAAAGTTCTCGTTGATTCAATTCTGTTGTTTAAAAAAATCTATAATAAAACTCTTCCATATCTCCGGAATAGCCCCTGCCAAGTTTGTAAATCTTTTATCAGGTTCCGTTTTGCTAGGTAGATACAAAGTTGGAAAAAAAAATACGTTTTGAATCTTATGTTGCCGACGACGCGCGACGAGTTGCCGTGACGACGGTAACGTTGTATCGAAAAGGCCACAAAGTCCAAGTTGTGATTAAAACAAACATCGTAAGTTTAATAATAATTTCATAACTTAAAATCATTGATATAATACCTTAAACTTTAATTAATTTTTGTCATTCTTATGATTTTTACTTCCCTTTCATTTTAGTTTTCAGAAAGTCTGGCTAAAACTTCATTATCTTGACAGCCAGACAACTTATAGGTATGTAGCCTAGTGTTAGTTCAATTTCTTTGTAAATTTCAAACTGCAATCTGCATACGGTACTTGAATTCAAACATTGATTTATTTTTAAATGACTCTGAGACTTTGGAAGTTTGGAATTTGGATGTTCTTGAAACTAAAAGTAAACAAAGAGCTCCAAACTGTAAATTCTTGCAGAAAGAAACTGCCTGTAGAATACGGTAGCCTACCGTAGGGTGAGCTGGCTATGGTTCAGAGACTAAAAAGCATATGCCTGTGGTTACTGACTTACTGTGGCTGTGGACAAATTCAGCTGCTACCTTGAGGCTTGAGCCTTCTAGGTGCTTCAGTCCTATGATAATGTAGTATGTCCCAAACAGCCCAATCATCCAAAATTCCAAATTCTCAATGGAAAAAAATTGTCACAGACTCACAATTCACAAACCTTTAATTATATATTCTCCTAAGGCTAGTATGGAATATATCTACTTGGCGAGCCGCGACTGAATTTTTCGAGCCGTGGTTTTATGGATTTGCCAGCCGTGATTCCATTTCTACGAGCCGTGATTCTATTTCACCGAGCCGTGAATTCTATATCTCGGCCATGAAAAGCCATCTGGTGACTGCCTAGCTCAGGGCCTCAGGCTAGCCTACCTAGCTGTGTCAGTGTCAGGTGCAAATGTTTGTTTGTTAAACTGTGCCCCTGTCAATTTTGAGCTATTTTATGTTTGAACATATGCCATGTTCAGAGCTCCCTTTGTCAGGCTTTGTGATACCTACCTAAATTGCAGTAGGGTAAATGCGGTATATTCCGACATTGTGGGTAATTCCGACACCTCTCTAGTTTTTCCTTTATATTAAGCTTTGTCTTAGTTCCACGCATTCGTTGATGGTTGAAATAGTGATGTCATACCTTTGTGCGCCAAACTATAGCCAAAACCCTAGGTTGGGACCAATGGACCATCTGGCAGGAAAATGTTGAGATCCAAAGAGGTCAGTAGCATAGTGACAAACCAGAGATTTTTTAGAATCAGTTTATTTTTAATTTCCTCATTTACTCAAGATTTAAACCACTTTCTTATGTACCATAATGCTGGTATCCAGGATACTTTGCTGGTCTACTTTTAGGACTCAAAAATGAACTTGAGGGAGAGTCTAAAAAAACTCTCTGCTTTGTCACTATGCCTAAATTATTCAATATTCCAAATAACTTCTACCCTAAGGTCTGAGACAGTGAGACTGAGTGAGCCCTCAGCCCTGAGTCTCCTGTCTCTAGTCTTGGTCTATAGTGTAAACGCGGTATATTCCGACATCGTAGGTAATTCCGTCACCTCTCCAGCTTTTCCTTTATATTAAGCTTTGTTTTAGTTCCATGCGTTCATGTGAGATTTCATACCTACTGAAATTATATGATATTAGAGCCGCGATATTTCAGACAAAAATAGGACTTTTCCAGAAGGTATGCAGATATTTAACCACACAGAACCAACCTGCTGGATCACCTGTACGTAAGACTAGTCCTAAGTTAAATAGAAAATTTGACAGTAGCCATCCTCAAATTGGTCAAAAAAAGCCTATAAATCTGGCCAATCTTATCTGCTCCTATGACCTTTTCCCAATTTCTTCAGTGAATAATATAAAAAATGGTCTATTATCATCTGGGAATTTTTGAAATCTGTGAATGTGTGAAACAATTGCTTTTACCTATGAGGCTATGAGGCTATGATTTTAGGAAACTGCTGTCTCATTATAAATTATTCAATATTCCAAATAACTTCTTCCCTAAGGGGTTGGGCTGAGACAGTGAGACTCTGAGTGAGCCCTGAGTCTCTAGTCTTAGTCTATAATATTGGTTAATGGTCAGAACTCAGAATTTGTTATAAATATTGGATGAAAACCATCGTTCTTTTAAATCATGTGAAAATTTTCTAAATTACATAAAAAATTAATTTTTTTTAATTTCTCATTTGAAAAAGTTAGGCAAGAGCTATAAAAACAGATGGGATTTTTTTTTTAGCCTGTTTATTTTTTGTCTCATGCTTGTGTGGCTTTTGCCCAATTTGCTGAATGGCTAAATCTTCGTAGTTAGTATTGCCTTCAAAATTTATTATTCAGTCCTCTAATAATAATTATACTATCATCTGCCATTTAGCAAGTAGGATGCTGAATTTGTTTAGTTTTCCATGTTTTAACTTGCAATTCTTATAAAAAACAAAAATGCTAAAATATACTGTAATTGATTATCATTAACTTTTACTGTAGCCTGTAGTACCTAGGTAATGTTTTATTTCTTTAATCTTATAGCAAAAACTTTTTAACTGTAGTTTCAGAAAATTGGATTACTTTCTTTAGATTATCTTTCTTAAAGTCTTTTCTTGATATTATGCATCAAATGTTCATAAACTTAATGTTAAATATAGAAAAAAGTATCTATTCCTCTATATAACTGTCACTAAGCTCATTTACATTCTTAAATTAGGTATTTTATGTAAAATCCTAAATTTTGATGATCTATCACTGTATGGCCCAGAAGACAGTTCATTCATTGAGTATTCATAATTTTTTTTTCTTGCAGATTGTCTGCACTTGAAGCTTTGTTCAAACGTTCACCATGCCCTTTGAGCACAGACGAGGAGCTGGGAGTCATGCTACCACCAACCTGTGTCACCGACAGCGCTCTCGGAGGCGAATTGCTGCTGTTTCCTTCCTCTCCAATATATCTTTAGATGGTTCTCACCAAGACACAAACTTGCGGCAATTTAACAAAATATCTTCTTCAGAAAAAGCTGAAAAAGACAAAGGAAATAAGAAAACTTTAGAGATCCCAGTAGAAAAAGTTATGTTTCAACACATTTCCTTAGAGACTGTGAATGATGTTGAGCCTAATAATGTAAAGGAAGTGCCTGTCAGAACCAGGACAGTAACTCCAGATAAAGTTAAGCGTAAGCAATCAAATAACAATGCACCTTTTACTCAGAGAATTACTCTCATTGTTAACCGTACTTATAATCCAAACATCACATCAAACATAGGACCTCTTGATGCAAATGCTACTCTTGTTCAGAGCAGTTCAAGTAAACGCTCTCATGTAGTAACCACTTTTGAAAAGTGTGCCAATGCAAGCATGCAAGTTGTTACCAAAGTCAGGTCTTTTACTGGTCGTTCTAGTTTGACTCGGAATTCTATGAGCATTAGCAACCACTCCATTTCTAATGGAATTCCTTTGATTGAAGAAGAAGCTCCTGAAACATTCAACAAGTGCTCAAAACGGAAGACAGTTGATAAAGAAAATTTGGGCCCTTCTGGTAGTCACCGAGCCAGGATTGATGGCTCTGCTTTTGAGTGGGAAAACGTACAGAAGGAAAAGTAAGTTTTATTCTAATTCTGTTTTATTTTTCAATTTGGTGTCCACTAAAACCCTTAGAAGTATTTTTATTTCAACTATTCTATCTGTTTCCTACAAATCAAAGTATAAATATTTGTTTTTGTATAAATTGTTTTTATTATGGTAATGATGTTCAATTACTACTTAAAATCTTTATATGTTATGTATGTTAGACCATATTAAGCATTCCAAATTTTTTTGATGGCCAAGAAACTAGCATCAGGCTATCACTTATTTGTACAATATAAAAAAATATAACTCAGTACTCACGGTAGTGAGTGACAGAGAGCGCATTTTCTCGTGCATAAATCAGTTTTCATTGTGACTAGTACAGTGCATTAGAGCTAGAGATTTCGTATCTTTAATACAGGCATGCCCGCTTCTTAAAATCGACAAAAATGTGAAGTCACGGATGGACGGACAGACGGACATGGCGAGCACAATAGTGCATTTTTTCTATAAAGAGAAAATGCACTAAAAAGGATTACTTGTAGCAATATAATAAACTGTATAAAATTATTCTAAAGCTTGGAAACTCTTCAGGACCTCAGCTCATTGCCGAAAACTCAGTTCCAACCCCTTGGCTGCTGCTGGCGACAAAGGCTTCAGCAGTTGTGAGAGCATCGAGCCTGCATCTGCACCTCCTGGTAGGCATTTATTCCTCCAGCATCCACCAATATTTTAAAAAATTTTTTTTTTGTTCCCTTTCTAATGAAGCAGTTCCAAAGCTATTTTAGGATTGGATTAGTAAAAACAAATTTGAAATATTTATTACCTTTAACATTATGGGCAAAGACTTATGATGAATTGGTAGAGTCCTGACTTGCATTGCCTGTTCTCTATATCAAATACATGCTGCACTCAATGTTTGAAATTTGTAAAGATTTCAATTTCAGTAGTGATTTAATTTAGAAATAGGACTACTAATTATAAACAGTAGTACTATACTGGAATTAGGACTACTAAAACAGCTACTAATTTGTGTGGTTGTATAAAACCATCTTTCTGTAACAGGAACATCTTTACCTTTTTGAATGAACAAGCCTATCATTCTTTCCTGCATGTGCTCACATGTGATGTAGTACCTAGTATGTTATTAAGAGGAGCAATGACATCAAATCTTTACAATTCTTAATGAAGTAGGTAACTATTGAAAATTGCATCCAATGATCGTACCTTTATATCTACCTAAATGGAAATTTTGCAACTTTTTATTAGCTTGTATTTACATAGCATGTAAAAACAACATGGCCAACCAAATTTTAAATTTTCTAATTACATCAAAAATTTTTGTTGAAATCATAATTTGCCTTTGCTCAATTGTGAAGATCTTTTTACACCTCTTTTGGCAATCATGATTGAAAACATTTTTTCCAGTGCAAAGCTCCACAGATTTGTTGCTTTTAACATGCCCTAACTCCGCAACTTGCAAGCCATTGTACAGCATTTTGGAGTAACAGCAGCAATCTATCTAACCCATCAATCTAAATACCTATCTATCCTATCAATTTACCTATTAATCCAATCAATGTACCTATCTATCTTATCAATCTATCAGCCATCACTGTTAGAAACATTTCTTTTCATTTCAAAACACCACAGATTTGGGCCGCTTTTAACATCCTCTAACCCCGCAGGTCGGAAGCCATCATGCAGCGTGTCAGAGAGCAGCAGCAGCAACGCCACCTCGGGCATCAGGGACGTGAAGTTTGTGCGCGTATGTGGCAGCAGTGACGGTCACCGCAGCTCATCAGGCTCCTCCACTACAGCTGGTGGAGGCTCGGTCGTTTGCTCTCGTGCCTCGCTGGCCGCATGCCTCGCTAAACAGGCCAGCGAGGGCAGGGTGCTGCTTACCACCGGCAGGGGCGCGCCACTCCACGTCTTTTCTCTCGTCCATGATAGGAGTTTCACGTGAGCAATGCTTGCTATAGTCAGTATAGTGGGACAATAGTTTATGTCATGGGTTCAAAGTGCTTCTGAAAATCAAAATTGAATAAATTTTGGTAGGAAACGCATCTTTTCTTTATTGCATGAGAGGTTTTCATATGAGAACGTTTGCTCGCAAGACGAAAGTTTATGTAGTGGGTCTGAAGTGTTTTCAAACATTGAAACTGAAAGAATTAGGGTGTAATACATACCTAGCTATATTAGCTCGGCTTAATACAGTAGTGTGATGGCGATCAGAAACTTGTGACATGCATTTCTCGACATGACAGCATTAAATTTTATCATGGAGCAATGAAACTGAAGAAAAAGCGCAAGCTTTTCTATTATCAGAGTTTTTATGTGCTGAATTCAATCTTTTGTAGTGACTTCTACGTTTTAGTCCATTTCCAAATTGTTCTTGTGTATTATTTCAAAGGTGTCTGAATCCTCAAATTGCCGTCACTGATTCAGTGAAAGATTCAACCATTAAAATTGGTGCTCCATATTTCACATTTTCGAAATGTTCTATTTCTAAAAATATTTTGCCCACTCATACTAATGTCACCTGCTCTGAGGATTAACGAAATTAATGAGAGAAGAATAATCTAAATTGGATGTATGAGATTATTAATGTAGATTTAGTCTCTTATGCAACAGGAAATGTCCAAACCCACGCGTTAGCATGCATTTTACCGAGTTATTTTGTGCAGCGTTGCTTGCTAACTCTCGAGATTGCCTTTGACTACATTCTAAATCGTGCAATAAGCCCAAATATTATTTCAGGAACTACAACTCTACCTCTAGATCTTAACCGGTCTTAAAAAATTGTATTTCAACCTGGTTTGAGTAAGGAGCTCTTAATCATTTTTTGCGTCATCAAGTTTTTATTTCTAGAGTTCTCATTGATCACCTATGCTTCAATCAAGATTTGAATCTTTAGTAATTATTGGTTATCTTCGCTTCACTTAGTATTTGTTTCTAAAGTTTTTATGCATCTCCTTAACACAAATAAAGATTACAATCCCAAATGATCGTTATTTTATCACCAGTAAAAATTTGAATGTATTTAATAGTTGTCATCTTTACACCAGTAAATATTTTTCTCAAGATCTTTATGCCGGCGTGCAGGAGATGTCCTACAGCCACTTGCTGGTGTCGTCGCCATACTTCGTGGCCGGGAAGCGGAGGCATCCTTCTGACCACGTGAGTAATCTACCGTGTGTATTTATTCACGGTAGTTAACACGATTTATTTATTTATTCATGTCTGACCACGTGAGTGAACTGCCGTGAGTCTTGATGGAACCGCCGCATCATGTTCATTTATTCATGTCTGATCATGTGAGTGCACCAACATGAATTTTATTGAACCACGATGCCATGTACATGTACTATTGTCTGATAAAGGTTATTGTTTTTATAGGACTGATAGTGAGATGATGGAGCCGTGTTATTGTTACCTCAATTCTAAGGATTAACGCCTGATTCCTGCATAAACTATATTCAATAATGTTAATCAGCGGGCCTTCTTTACATTAGTTAATATTATGAAGAAGTTACTACGTATAGCGGTATAGCAGGCGGAAATTAATGCCGAGCTCCAAGCTGTATGTTGACTTATAATGCCAATTTATGTAAGAATACCTTGATTTTATCTTTCTTATGGGCTATCCCATGTTGCAGGTACAGGATGAAAACATACGCGTGCAGTCAGCGTCGGCAGCGCTGCCTCAGCCACACCAGCACAGCCTGGTGGCGCGCTGCTTCAGCCACGTCCACGACATCATGTTCATTTATTCATGTCTGACCACGTGAGTAAACTGCCATGAGTATTGATGGAACCGCGACATGTTCATGTACTATTGTCTGATGAAGGTTATTGTTCTTATCGGACTGATAGTGAGATGATGGAGCCGTGTTACTGTTGAGTCAATTCGAAGAAAAAATGTAACTTGTATTGAGGGTAAAATGAAACTTATCGCAAGAAGCAGGAAAAGCTTGCTTCTTGCATAATCTAAATTTCAATAATGTTAATCATAGGGCGAAATATAACATTCCATGCTACTACAATGTGGCTTCAATAAATTAATTATTTGCCATCTTTACATCAGTAAATGTTATGAAGAAGTTGTAGCAGGCGTGAATTTTTGTCGAGCTCCAGGCGGTACTTTGACTTACAATGCCAATTTATTTAAGAATTAGTATGTCTCATGTGATATTATCTTTATTATGAGCTATCCCTTGTCGCAGGTACAGGATGAAAACATACGCGTGCAGTCAGCGTCGGCAGCGCTGCCTCAGCCACACCAGCACAGCCTGGTGGCGCGCTGCTTCAGCCACGACCCTTCCTTCTCTGGCAACCTCGCCCCCGAGTACCTGCCGCCCCCTGTCACCTCTTTCAGCCAGTCAGCCATCTCCAGCCAGTCAGCCATGTCCAGCCACGACACGGCTGCCTCCAGAGCCATTGATGTCCCCAGCCATAACTTCCCTCGATGTGAGACAGTGAACAAATATGGTCAATGATTTGATTAATTTGTAAATTTTCCTTTTTTTCCGATATCAATAATTCATTTGATGTTGTATGGATGTTATAGATATGAATCAACTTGATCATTCGTTCCTGCTCTGCGTTGGAAGCAATTAACGTGAAGTTGCCGTTTACATTTCTCTTCTTGGGGTAAATTTTACTTATCAACTTCTAAGCTGTGGATAAACAAGTGTGTAACGTTCGTAAAATAAACTGTTTTTGCTAACACCACATTGTGTGTGCAATATGTATACACCTCAATCGCAGAACCAATGTGTACATGAAAAAAATTATTTATTTTCTAGCTGAAATGTAACATTTTTCTTCTCCAGACGATTACTCTCCTGACCTGCTGGACGATCCTGAGCTGCGAGCTGGCAAGCACAGAAAACTACTGCGCTTTCCGTCGTACTTGGTCTGTCTTCAACCTTGAATCCTATTTGTTATATTACATTGAATGGTATATAGTACCATTTAATGGTGTATCGAACCATTGAATGGTATATACCATTCAATTTGTGTTCAATTTTTATTACCTTAGCTTTGAAGTTAGTATTGAAGGTCTAAATTATGATGGCAGTGGCGTGGCCGTATTTTAGCCACATAAATGTTACTTATGTACTACTATGTGTTTAACTAGTTTGTGATCGTAGACTTTTTCTTAGTGGATGCTCTGTTTGACCACACTAAAATTTTAGTACTGTGACAGTAATCAAGATGATGTAATTAGTTAGTAGACTACTATTTTATGGCTTCATACCTCCATCACGCCTAAATAGTTTATTTGTACACACTTTGCCTGATAGCAAACAATCAGTAATGTTCGTTCAATTGATTATTATAAAGCTTGGTTATGAATAATTTAATGTTCTTTTTAGCGCCTTTTTTTCATTCATGGAAAAAATGCACTATTGTGCTCGCCATGTCCGTCCCTCCATCTGTCTGTCCGTTAGTGACTTCACGTTTTCGTCGACGAGAAAATGCGCTCTCTTGTCACTCACTGCAGTGAGTACTGAGTTATATTTTTTCAGACATCGCTGATTGACTACGCGAAGCCTGACGAGCTGAAGCGGGAGGTGAACGATAAGTTCCGTACCAAGTTCCCGCACGTGCGGATCACGCTCACCAAACTCCGCAGGTCCGTCGCCTAAAGTTTTCATTGAAGACAATATTAGAGAAATTATGAAAAATATTAACATTACTACATGCATTACAGTACCCTCATATGTTGGTGTTATTTTTAGTTAAACATTGCTATCATGATCCGCACTTCCTGATCACTGGTCGCCCAACTCTTCAGGTCCGTTGACTGCATTTGACTTACTTTTCATAGCAAAAATTAGAACTTGAATTCCGAGACATATATATATACTTAATGTGTCCGCATCTATCGATCTCAGCTAATTATTTACGTCCATCTAAAGGCTTCAAAATAATTAAAATGATGATATTTAGTATTTCAGTAGTATTACTTATATCAAATTTTGTATACTGAATACCATCCATCCTAGTATACCACATACCATCTTTTAATTTATTCCACGTAGATAAAACTTTTTGTTAGTCGCAGTTAGCAATGAATACCTGGGGCCATACATTCAGAACTCGCTAAGTGAACGTAAGTACTTACGCTCTATTTTCTTGTCTGTGATTGGTGGATTTTGCTTGAAAGGCTGTCAATGATTGGCTGATGAATTTGCGATCTCTTAACTTTTTTTGAAAGTATAGGCCCTGAAGGAGCAAATGAATTGTCTCTTCTTATACTTTGAACTCCTACGTTTCTCTTGCGTAGATGCGACAGTACATCAAAGATTCGGTTCTCAGTACCGGTACTGCTTTTTTTTGTCTAACCGTCAATGACGCTGAGCGTTCTCATTCCTTTACTGTAAAGCAATGCATTGAAATAATAATTTTATTTGTTTACGTGAAATATCCAGATTTCTATTTCTGCTTAAAGCAGAAATTTAGTCAAAGCGATCCATACTGGATCGCTTTCGCCAGTATTTTTAGCAGGAGTTTAATGGGGGTTACACATCCTAGTAACAAGTTTAATTGATAAATAGACAATGCTCGATAGGTATTTTCAGTCATTGATGTGTTTTTTTATGTAGGTATATTTGGGTAAAGTAAGGTGTGAATTTCATGTAATTTCATTTAATTCAATCGAAATTCTATCATAAATTTAAGTATTGATGCTCTTCTTTTTTCAATTAATGAATTTCAAGCGGGAATAATTCAATATAATATAATTTCAGCCTGAAGCGGGAGCCTGAAGGTAACCTCAGAAGAGTCGTTACAATACAACAGAATAAACTACAGAATAAAGCTAAATATAATTTAATTTCACTAGATTGCTGATCACTGATCACTGATTGATCCGATCTGCACATTTTGGAATCATTGTATATTTTTAAAGAGAAGCCTAGTTTAAATGCTGCCTACAGTTCTTATCCATTAGAAATTGTGAATTGATGGGTATTTCTTCTGTGGTATAGGTATTAACTTTGATAGGTAATAGATAATAGAAAGGTTTTAACTTCTGTGTTTTTTTTTATCTTTTGACTCCTAACTTTATTAATTTTCTGACTGTTTTTGTGTTCTAGATTTATCGAACTGACGTTGGAGCTGGTCTCCAAAACGTTTTTTCAACAGAGAAATGCTAAATTTTTGTTTTCTTTTGCTAAATGCTAAATTTTTGTTTTTTGAGTTTTCTTCGCTTTTAAATTTCTAATATACTGTAATTTCAGCCTGAAGCGGGAGATGGTGCACATATGCCAGCAGTCATTCAGCAGCAGCACAGCGTCAGAGGGCTGGGCACTGCTGACGGTGGCCCACGCCCACAGTTACTTCGACAGTCTCTGTCTCAACGGCTCCGTGTACAAGGCTACACGCAAGCCTCTGGCCGGCGCCTGCCTCCTCATCAGCGCCAAGATCAACGATGTTAAGGGCGATACTCTCGTTGCTCTTATTGAGGTATTAGTGCATACTTATTGTTGCTCTTATTGAGGTATTAGTGGATACTTATTGTGGTATTAGTGGATACTTATTGCTACTCTTATTGAGGTATTAGTGGATACTTATCGTTACTCTTATTGAGGTATTAGTGGATACTTATCGTTACTCTTATTGAGGTATTAGTG